GAATTGAGAAAGTCTATTTTCCTTTTCTCTCCTAGCAGTGCCAGGATTGGTATTGTTTTTGTCAACTTATTTGAGCTTTCTGGGGTTTTTTGTTTGTTTGTTTGTTTTTATATCTTCTTGTGTTTTATTTATTTATTTATTTTTTCAACGTTTATTTATTTTTGGGACAGAGAGAGACAGAGCATGAACGGGGGAGGGGCAGAGAGAGAGGGAGACACAGAATCAGAAACAGGCTCCAGGCTCTGAGCCATCAGCCCAGAGCCTGACGCGGGGCTCGAACTCACGAACCGCGAGATCGTGACCTGGCTGAAGTCAGACGCTTAACCGACTGCGCCACCCAGGCGCCCCTCTTCTTGTGTTTTAATTGCCTTCTATGCACCTCTTTGGTGAAGGAGGGATTCCTTCCCTAGGGTCATTGGGATGGCCAAACACATGATGCCCAGTTCTGGGCAGTTTATTAGTCACATATACTCACTGCCCAGGGGAGGGGAAAACAGTACACTGTGCAGGGTCATAGGAGGTTTGTGTTCAGGAACAGAGTGTACCAACAGGCCGTGCAAGGCAGGCTTTACACTATCAAAGGGGTGTGATAACCCCTGGTTTTCATGGGAGAACATTATTGGCTTGTTTGAATAATTACGCTGGCTAGCAGGGAACTGAAACTTGTTCCTCAGGTATAAGCCGCACCTGCTCTTGGTACCCCTGATAAGGAGAGTTCTTTGGCCGGGGGACCTTATTTGAGGAGCAAAGTGGGGAGGGGAACTCGGCGGTCAGGCCATTCAAGGTCCTCCTCATTTCACCACATGCCAAAGCAGCACTTAAAATTGTTGTTAATTTCCTTTCTAGTGCTGTGTAGACTGTTTACTGTAATGCTCAATAATTTAGAAGGAAAAAATTAGAGTTCTTTGTTCATTCTACTTGCGTTTACCTTGAAGGTTTTCAGATGTTGTGGATGTGATATTTAATGATCATAGTCTGTAGGGAACTATGATTTTAACTCCCTGTTGTGGAAAATCAGTTTGCCCCCATTCACTCCCACTTTTTCTTCTTTATTTCTTTTCTTTTTTTTTTT